AAATGAGTTATAACCTATGGTTTATGAGCTCTAATGTAGTATTCCACAATATAAGTATTCTGTCTGAAATAAAACTGCTCAATTGCATTAGCCAAAATGTGGTGGCAAACTATAACGAACTGAAGAAATTAGAGCTGTGGCAGAGAAAGGTAAAGGAAAAAAAAGGTATATGAATATGAATTCGTGCCATATTTTAAGAATGAGTTCTATGTTACATAATGCATTTCTGGAAATGAGAAATATTTAACAAAAGTATACTTAGTAGCATAGAGGTTGACGGAATCGTAATAATTATGTTTATTAATATATTGAGAGTGTTAGAAGTTTGACCCTAGATGACAGCATGTTAACATACGAGGTTTGATTACAGCAAGTTCTTGGTCACAGCAGTGAACAGGTTTTCTTTATAATATTCATACTGTATATCTCACACACATCTATCTGTACAGGTTTTACTATGGGTTGTTGAATCACTTGTCAAGTTCTAATTTTATACAAAGCAGTAGAATGTTATGGAAATTAAGAAAGTGGAACCATTGCACATTGTGCGCGTGAGGAGTGTAACAATCAGGCACATATCTCTTTAATGTTTACTTAGAGAATTGTTGTTATTTTCAATTTTGAGAAATTTGGTTTAATTTTCCCTGATATTGTGAAATATTAATAACTGCACTGATATGATATAATTAGAGGTACTCTACTTTATCAGTAACAGGTGTTTGTATTTATCTTTGTTCGATAAATTTGGTGCACGAAGCCTGAAAAGTGGAAATTAATATTTCACTGTGGTGAAATGTGCTGAAAACATGTTTGATTTTAGAGCAAACAAGTATGTAATATAAGAAAGCTAAACGTGTTGTTCATGACGTGTTTCGAAGTTTTATATTATGCTTTATTTATTAATACCTGGTTGTTTCAAGTTGAGCTAGAAATAACTCTGCTATAATTATTTATGGTCCAAAGGATCAGGCCCGGCATGGCCAGGTGTTTAGGGCACTCGACTCGCAATCTGAGGGTCGCGGGTTCGAATCCCCGTCCCACCAAACATGCTCGCCCTTTCAGCCGTGG